AATATGGCATTATATTAGAATGTGTTGACTTGAAGTCACGAAAATATCACAAAAAAAAAAAAATTATAATAATAATAACAATAATTTTAAAAGTCATAGTTGTTTGTGTTGGCCCTGTTCCATAAAAAGACACTTACGGTGACAATCTTCTTGGAGATTCATCTAAAATCAATCGGACGAAAAATATTAGTTTTATAAATAGCCTCAGGAAGTTTTTTTCTCTAAATTTTTGGCAAAAAATCATAAGTTAATGGTCTTAAAAAAAGGAAGTGTTTGAAAAAATAAAAATTCTTCGATCAGGTCCGAATTTATTATGTATTATAAAAGCTATATAAATTTCATTAAATTCCACTGAGCGGTTTTCGAGTTACAGTTGTCACCAGTTCAAAAAATATAGTTTTGCGAAAAACGCGTTTAAAGTTTCACACTAGCGCTTTGAAGTGCCCGAGCTCTCGTTGTGAAATTTTCAGAGAATATTTTAAAGATATTACACTTAACGAAAATGCAAAAAAAAAAATTATTTTTTGAAAATTCTGACTACACCTAACCCCTTATGCATATCATAATATGCAACAATTGAAAACCTCAACTTCGGTTGAACCGAAGCTATAATACCCTTCACAAATACAAAAGGTTTGCTACGAGAACTTTATACCGATCGTTAAATTTGTATGACAGMTATGTACTATAGTGATCCTATCTCTACAATTTTTTCGGAAATTYCATTATTGCCTTARATAATGATTCATTCCAAATTTTGWCAAGAAATCTCGTGGAATGAAAAAATTTTCCATACAAAAACTTGAACGCGATTGYTTAGTTTGTATGGCAGTTGCATTATATAGTGATCTGAAAAATATGTAGATTCTTCGTAAGAAAAGGGCAGATACAAAATTTCAAATCAATATTCTAAAAATTGATGGACTAGATCGTGTATACTACGGGGGATCGTTGCGCTGGTGCATTTCTTACGACACAGATGGCGCGAGCTTACGAGTGAACTGCGCAACGATGGTTGTACTCGTACCATACGCTTTAAGTGAGGTAGGGGAACTAAAAATTCAATATCTTCGTAATGGTATGAATGAAGAAACATTTCTTTTCAGTTTTTTAAAGTTGAAGGTTTTCCGTGTTGTGTCACATACTTTTGAGTTTTTTGTTAGCGTGAAGAACACATAAAAATTTCAATTGTTTAACAAAAMATTATGGTTAATAATATTATTTAAACAAATTGACCGTGAAAAAATATTTACAATATAGCACGGACATTTTGCTTTCGGTTCACAAAATTTCAGCGATTAATCGAAGCGAATTAGTTTATAAGAAAATAATTTTAAAATTTTAACATTTTACCAATTTTTCTAAATTTCAACCATCTTAACTTTAACAAGAAAATGAATTTTGACGAAATATTTATATCACGGAGTATGCATCTGGTCTTCTACTCAATGAAGTGCTAATTTTCAATCGGGTTTGCATGACCCACTTGACTTGGTTTGACTCATATAGAACCTTCCGATATAATTCAGTGACTAATCACGGTTTGGAAAACACCGGCTACCAGAAACCACTTTTCAATTGTGAAAGAACGTTTATTGAAAACATTGAAGCAGCTGGWTGGCGATGCAGTATATTAGCTGCGCGAAGTACATCCAAAATGTATACGGGTATCTCGAAAATGGAGGACRGAGTTGGCGCGTSWATATACTACATAGAGTTAGGCATAAGACGGCCTAATTCTTTTACATGTGTAAACAGATAGATAAGAATTACGATAAGTTCATACTGACACTCGATAGAAAAGTTTGTGGGAACATTAGGGAAGCAATGGATCATCTTTTGTGCACTTATACTGCATTGGCACGGCAACGCGTCAAAGCAGTTGGACAACCCACGGTGTGAGACACTGGAGGAAGTATCTTTAATGAGGCCACAGAATCTGCAGAAATTCTCAACAAGCATGGATGACTGTTTCTCATGGACTACATAAAGGCACCTCACCTGATATTGTTAAGAACCACGAATGGTCTATRCGTGGCTCATTAGCCTACCAGATTAACATAACCTAACTTTTAAACKGAATATTCACTTTCATAGTTATCATTACGTATGTTTTGCCTTGATGTTTGTGTTTTTCGACAATTTTAACTGGCATTTGGCCAATCAAATAAAAAAATTTTGGAGAAATATTTTTTAATAAATTTTCTAAAAATTTAATAATTAATGAAAAATTATTTTATTTTGTTTTTTCAGATACTTTACTAAAAATGGAATTTATAGATTTCTTCTGATCATAAGTTTAATTAGAGAACATTTTTTTTTAGAGCTGGCAACAACGTTCAATTTATTTCTTTTAAAAAAATTTAGATTTTTTTATGAAATGAGAAATATTTTTCTTCATTTTCCACCAAAATTCTTTTCATAAAAACCCGTAATTTATTTTCCTTACAATTTTTTAAAATTTCCAAACGTTTTTTTTTTGCGATTTTTGCAAAAAAGTTTTGCAGGTTCATTTTCGATACTATCGAATGAATTGCACATTCCGCAACCAAAATACATTAATGCCACTTTAGACACCATTTAAAGCTTTACTAAATTCAACATTATTTACCGTTACTAACACGCCCAATAAAAATATCGCGTTATTTAATCCCGTAAAACTAAAAAWGTACCAAAAACAACAAAAAAGCGGCTTTTCATTGAAAAAGCTGCAAACTTGCGCATAATAAGAGCTTTGCTTCCCGAAAACTGCATTAAGCATCCATGTCAAATATTTAATTAATGAAACAAAGCGGTATAATATTTCATGTGAATGTATGGGTGTATGTAAGTAGGCGTGTATTAGTGCGCTATGCAYACCTGTTGTAGTTGGTTGTCAACGACTAACCGTCTAGACCGAAATTTACGCCTCTACGGCTTTGCGAAATTCATGGGTCTGTAAATTTKATGCGTATATATATAAATAAAATGYKKTGCAATGTACATATGTAGCTGTGTATGTATGTAACACACATGGACCTTCATTTGAAATCAAGTTAGGTTGTTGCCATGTTCACATGAATGTATGTGTGTGCTAATTTATTAAAGAGTCCTCAGATAATTATGTAAATTCTGCGCAACAACCAAACTATGTTGTCAAAAGTTTCATATTTAATTAGAAAATATTTGCTTCATTGTATTCTCGAACACTTTTGTGTCCGCATCTGATCTCGTTTATAATCATATTGCTGAGTTATGAACTCAAAAACATTTGCTGACTATTTAATTTAGCATAATGTAGACTAAATTTGGTTTTTCTGAAATTTCACTAAACAAAAAGAAAAATGAAAAAAATATCTGGGTAAATTAAATAAATTTCTATTTTAGGTGCATTTACTTACAGTTATATATCACATTCGGGTGATCAGCTTACTTTCGGTTTAGACTTCAAATAAAATATAAGTAAATCGATACGGAAAACATTTTCGCAATGATGAATTAGACCAATGTCTCGATGTAGCTAGCGAAGATGTGTATAAGA